GCCATGAAGTATCAGGACTTGCTAGATTGCTATGAATCCAAATAAATTGGTCAATTTTCCCATTAACTTTCTTCAATTGTTGCAGTGTAGAATTTCAACTGGTTGCTGTTAGAGTTCCTGGTCAAGCACCTCTTCAGGCTGATTAAAAAATAATAAAATAGAATTTTGTAAATAAAATAGCTTTCTGCAGACACCCCACACAAACACACAGACTCAAACTCAAAAAATTCAGTGGAAGAGAATATTAGACACATCTGCAGCAGCCTGGGATGTGCACACAAATTAAAGATTAAAGTTTAGAGAAATGAAAGATTATATTTTTGAAACATACTTAGTAGTCATATCTATGTATAAATAAGATATATATATATATATATATATACCTTACAATTTTGAATAATGTTATGATTAATTTATTTTAATTCTAGATATTAAAGTATATATGCAGTATTGATTTATTTTATTTGCATTTTAATAATTGTCCATGATGACAATCATCTTTAATGTGATTATTTAACTCATATATATATATGTATATATATATGTTTTTATTAAATTATGTATATCATCTATTCAATCCCATCATATATTTTAGTCTATTTCTTTTCATGCTGGTGTTTTTAGGGAGATCTCTATGTGGCCCACATATATTTATTTTGATGGATATGTGATTTGCTAATATTTTATTGACTGTGTAGTTTGTATTTTCATTCTGTTAAGAATATTACCATAGAATAAAATGATTTAATATCGATGAAATAAAAAGTGCATGTTTGATTTCATGGATTGTTGCTTTTGGTGATGTATGAATGTAGAATCCCTGTCTCTGTTGACAAATACTTTTCATATATTATCTTGTAGCAAGGGTATGCTTTAACATTCTATTATTACATCAAAGATGCATATTTGAGTTTCTCAAGGTATGAGTTGGGGTTTGGAGTTTGATATTTGCTTGTATTCAAGTGTTCAAGCTCTCCAGTGTCATGCATTTTAAAAGAACATATTCTCTTCTTCCAAAAACCTATGCACCTTTCCAACAAACATGAGTCCAAGCTTCCCAAAGGACAGGAAAGATGAACTCAGAAAATGGTAAAGTAAGGTACGCGTGCCAACTACACTCTTTAGGATTAAGATGCACTGTATATATGTTTATTTGTCAATTCCCCATAATGAAGCAATCTGTTATATATAACAAATAGGAATTAATATTTTTTACAACCTAGAATGATATAGACATAAAGCAATTGCAGGGTGTTTGAGAAACCCTAAGCAAGCTCATGAGAAGAACATTAGTGAGCTGTTTTCGTGAAGAACCCTTCCCTATGGTCTGAGCTGCATGGAAGAGATTCACCAGGCCTCCACGGGCTGGAAGGCAGGTGGCTTCCTTATGACTATTGGAGAAGGCACAGAAACTTCAAGAAGAACCAAGGGTTACCATTTCCAACATTAGCATCATAAATAATGGCGACCTCAGTGTAAATAAATAAGCAAAGCTGGTATTGCTTCTACTGCACAGACTCCACAATCTTTGAAACAGATTAGAAAAGACATTTACTAGGGATTTGGGGGGAAAGAGAGAATGAAAATGGCTATTCAGTCATATGTGTTGTGATATGGAAGATCATGTGCAACTTCAAGTCTGCACACACTCATGTAAGAGCCCAGAGAACTCTTGGGTTGACCATGGTGAGCTTTTAAAGGCAGAAAGCAAAACCTAGCACAAAGTTGTAATAAATTAATGACATTTGAATACATTGGCCAAATCAACCACGGATTCATCAGTAAATGGTAAAAATTTTGCTGGCTTAGGACAGTACCATTGTGTGACCACCAAATCACCGTGGACCATTGTGGGTAGTATGTGAAGTGAGTCATTTAAACATAAATAAAAATTCCAACCCTCCCCCCCACAAAAGTATCAGGCACATCACACTGAAAAGCAAAGCAATTCTCTTAAAATTAGTTCGAGCAAATTACTAAACAAATAAATGACAACACCAAAAATTTCAGGGTTAGAATAGAATCCAGCGTTGCTATAGCACATTAGGTGAATTGTTTATTTATCTCTTATCAAAGTCTTCAGAAACTAAATTAAGAAGAAAGTGTGAGTTACACAGAGAACAAACTTAATAACTTCAACATTATCCTTGTTGCTGGGAGTCCTGCCCTATAAGATACACGAGACAAGCCAGGCATGGTGGTGCATGCCTGTAATCCCAGCCCTTGGGAGGCTGAGGCAGGAGGATCGCTATGAGTTCGAGACTAGCCTGGGCTACATAGTGAGTTCCAGGTCAGTCTGAACTACATAGTGAGACCCTGTCTCAAAAAGCCAGAGTGGAAAAAAAAAAAAAAAGAAAGATATACGAGACAGTCTTTAAATTGAAAGGTGGTGACAACAAATATCAACTAAAAGTTACTGAAGCAATGATCCCTGGTGAAGATCACTTCCAGGATAATTATAAAGTGTAATGCATATATTTTTTCCTATTTCCCTTTTAAATCACTTCAATTCAGGGAGTTAAAACAGCAATTAAAAATCAGTGACTTAACACTCTATTTCACATATATCACAAGACACATTGAAAGAATTAAAATTGCTGTAAGAAACAATTAGGGGTCTCAGACATGTAGGTAAATTTCTAGATTGATATTACACCAAAAATGACCTACAAAATATGACATATAATATTTACATTGACCTGCAGCAAGAAATTGAAACAACACTCAGCCTTCATGAGTGAACCAAATGCCGAATGGCTGCACTATTGTTTATTTTATTCTTGTTTTCCAGGTTTTTATTCCACTGATGTTTGATTGTAGAACAAATGCATTGCATTGGATTTTGCTTAGTATTTTTCTTCTTTTTATGTATTTTAAACTTTCCTGATGTGCAAATTTAGTTTATTAATAACAGACATTTTACATTTCTACTATCACTTAGCTCTATATATTTCCATTTAAACAATACTTAGTATGTTCTATAAAATTTAATACAGTGTATTTTACTTTTTAATCACTAAGAATTTTATGTCACTCATAGATTATTAAGAACCATGCTATTTGTGTTCAAGTATTTGGAGAATGTTCTGTTATTGTGATCTATTTAATGTAAATGGGGCACATAAAATCTAAAAGAATTCATTTTAGAAGTTGTATAGCATCTAATATTTCTATTAAATAAGACTTCATTTAATAATTTAAGATTCAACCTCAACAAATTAGGAAAGTATAATGCAGTCAGGCAAATTAAGCAGAAGGAAAAAAATTTAAAAACAGAAACAATTGAGAGTTTATAAACTGAAAGATTAAAAACCTTGTCATCTGTAAACTTCAAAACATTATGTATTTTCTGAGGACTGAAAAGGAAGCAGAGACAAGTCACAACTAATATAGCTCAGAAATAAAGGCAACTATAAACATCAGAATCCAAAGTCATTGTGAGGGGAATATTAAAGAGATCTGTGACAACACAGAGGTATACTGACTAGACAAAAATGGATTCTTTAAAATTCACAAACTATTATCCTTTCTGAAAATAAAATGGATCATTTCTGTAGTGCTCTTATTAGAGCAACCGAGTTTGTAAACAACATGAAGCCCAAAATTTAGGGGATTTCCTGGAATTGGTGTGGTTAACAAGCCAGAGTAGACCCTGCATGTTTAATTAGTTTCCTGAGAATGTGGCCTGACGTCCAGGGTCCCTTCTGCTCCTGCAGTCTTCTCTCCAATTCCCTACCCATCGTCTCAAAAGGAGAATGCTACAAGCAGCTGCCTGAACAAGAAACAAACCTGGAAGTAATATTGAACACCCCTGCAGTGGGTTCCCATCTTACACAGACGCTGTAGAGACCGTGGGGAGAACAGGAGATGCAGATGCAGAGACTTAGAGAGAAAGCTGGGTCTTGCCCTGATCTAAGCTTCGCTGGGTACCAAGGACCCGCTGTGTTTATTCATTACAAGGATGGGAAGGAGGGGAGCAGCATATGCTTCTTGGAGATAATGAGTATTGCATGGAGGGCCTTAAAAGGGAGGCACTAGCATATCTTGCTGAAGAGAACAAACAGATAATTCAGAGGAAAAGAATTTAGTTTGAGTCAAGCTGACTTTGGCAGTAAATTATCTCAGCAGGGCCCTGCCACTGCCTGGACTAGGACTTGGGTCTTGGTAGAAGCCATTAGCAGAGGAGCTGTGCTCACCCATCCTACTGTCTAACACGCCCATCTGAGTCACATAAAGCTTTGGTCAGACCCCTATATAATGCAGCAGAATTATGGAGAGCCAAGTAGGCTGTGCCTCTTGCAGCCTGATTATATGGGGCAGGGATGTCTGCTACAGAGTCGTTTCCACGGTGCTATGTGATGTGCGGAATCATCCCAGATCAGAAGCTGGCAACAACGTAGCCCTTCCAGGACTATCGCTAAAGGAGACAGGTGAAGAGTGCACACCCAGGCTCAGAAACATCAAACAAGTCAGCATAGGAGCTAAATTTTGAATAAGAATTAATTTTTAGAGTGGTTGTTTTTAGATCAAAATATATCTGTATGTGTTTTATTTACTATTTTTAACATATCTTCCATTTAGAAAGATTGCAGACACATATGGAGATGAATTATGTGATTGTAATATATGTTTACATAGTAACAGTCTCTGCAGTATAACTGAATCCATTGAATCATTAATGCCAATAGTTCTTTTGAGAATGGTTATTACACAAAACAATTATAGAATTGTTAATGGGATTATTTATGATTTGGTGACACTTTGATAATTCTTATACAGAAAAATCTCTCAACCTTACAAAGTTTAATATGGAAAAACTGCTTTACTGTGAAGACAGGCAAGATAAAGAAGAGAAGATAGATATCTTTTGAAATTTTTTATATATACATGGAAAGCCAAAGACAGATAACGTAAAGAACAGAAAATAGATATCTTTTGTAAATTCTTTATATATATATATACACAGAAAGCAAGTCCTGAAAACTCATGTTTTCCACAAATTATTTGAACACTAATCTTCTCAGTGCCATTATGACATCCTTATTCCTTAGACTATAAATCATGGGATTAAACATGGGAGTCACAATAGTATAGAAAACAGAAAGCACTTTATCAGTTCCTGAGGATCGGCTGGATTTTGGTCTTAAATATGCAATAATGGCTGATCCAAAGAATAAGATCACAACCGCAAGATGAGAGGAACAGGTAGAGAAGGCTTTGGACCGACTTGTGGCTGATGGCAATTTCAGGACTGTGGAGAGGATTTTACTATAGGAGATTAGGATTAGTAGAAATGGAAGAGAGACAAAAAACACAGCAACCATGTAGACCATCAGTTGATTCACCAACGTGTCCCCACAGGCCAGCTGAAGCAGTGGGGGGATGTCACAGAAGAAGTGGTTGATTTGGTTGGAGCCACAGAAGGAGAGAGAGAAAATCTGGAATGTCTGCCCTATCTGGACCGGAATGCTGCTGATCCAGGATCCAATGACCAGCTTGGTGCAGGCCTTGCGGTTCATGACAAGAGGATAGTGTAGAGGGTTGCAGATGGCCATGTAGTGGTCGTAGGCCATCACGGTCAGAAGGAAACACTCGGTGGCTCCCAATATAAGGACCCAGCACATTTGTGCAGCACAAGCAACTACAGAGATGGCTCTTCTCTGGGTCGCAAGGTTCATGAGCATCCTGGGTAGAGTCACTGACACATAACAGATTTTCAAAAAGGAGAAATTGCCAAGGAAAAAGTACATGGGTTTCTGGAGAGAAGGTTCCAGTTTTGTTATTAGAATGATGGTTCCATTTCCCAACAACACAATTACATAGATGTGAAAGAACAATCCAAACAGAAACCACTGGAGGTGAGGAATATTGCCGAATCCCAAAAGAACAAATCCCATCTGGTCAGTGAGATTTCCTTCTGGTGGGTTTGCTGGGCTTTTCATCTGTGAAGGGAGTAAACTCAGTACACATTTTCTTTTTTCTTTTACTACTGAAATAGACACCTATTCTCTAAAGGAATAAGCTCGCTCACCTCATTTTCATGATCTTTATCATTTTTACCACTGTAAGAAGTTTACTCTTCATTTACAACAAACTTTGCTAATTTAGGTGCTGATCATTGCTCTATGCATTTTCTCAAAATTTCTTTTGAATCATTTAGTTTGCCTTCGGAGTAACTTAGGACCAACTGGATCACGGTGTATGAAACACAGACAGTGGAAAAATGGGCAATCACTAAAGATAAGTCCATGGGTTTGTCAGATCACGTCAAGTTTAACTTACTGTACATTTGGAAATCATACTGTAATTCTCCGTGAATTCTCATTACTGTGCCTCATCAGCACTGTATCAAGGAACATGTCCTCTGGTGCATTTTTTACTTTTCTTAAAATTCACATAAAGCAATATAAAATTGTATATACTAAATAAGAATATCATCGTATTTTAATACATGCATATGTTACATGATTGCAAATATGGACAACGGACATATTTATTTCCTAAAACTTTTATTATTTTGTTGTGATGCAAATTTCCAAAATGCTTTGAGTTTTGTGAAATGAACATTTTTCTTTGCTTCTTTCAACTCCCCATTTCTTCCCATTATTTGAGATGAGGATAATTTTCTTTATCATATAATTCATAATCACAAGTAATTAAAAATATTGAAAAAATTGGGAAAATATTTAGTGACACAATTATGTTTTGGCCTTGTAAAAAGTAGAGAGTATAATAGGGCATTTTCAGTGCAAATAGCCTGGAAAGTTCAGTGCAGATGGAAGCAATAAAGAGGGTGATCAGGAGGAACCAAGAGGCCCAGGGAGGCCAGGGGTAAGGTGGGTGTGAGTGTGGGTCCGGTGGAGAGAGGGGTACTGGCAATCAAGTTAAACCCAGTGCTGCCTGCTGTGTATACCACAGTCTTCGTTTTCCCCCTCTGTCACCTCTCTGGGTAAACAATTATAAGCTCACTCCTTATTAGAAATAAACATATTGACGCTAACAATGACTTGACAAACGCTCAGAAGTTTATGATAAAAATAGAACAAAATATTCTTTATTTATGTGAGTATGAAGCCTCTTTACTTGTAAGAAAAGGTATTTTACATTTCTTGTTTTTCTTATTTGTCAGAATTAGGTGACATTTTTTGTGAAAATGCCATTGATCAATATGGAAGTGATCATTAATTAGTGATGGTTCTATAGTTTAATTATCTGCATTATATAAGAAAGTAAGTCATTAGCCCCCAGGGTTGTGATTAATTGCTTAGAAAAATTTTACTTAGTATTATTATTATTGTGTTGTACTTTTGGCAATTCATTTTTCTGAAGTTTCCTTTTACCAGGGATAGGACTCTGGTTAGTGAAGTGAACTATTTCGATTAAAAAATGAAGATTCCTGGTACAGGTTTTCTGGTTTCACAGCCCCGAGAGCAAATGCCTTCTTAGGTATTGTACTCTGTAGAGGTGTGCCTGGCTCATTGCTGATTGCAGCCTTGCATTTTTTTTCTCCACCCTGGCTTTGCCCATGAAACCCAGAGTGTTCATAGGGTCCTGGGGAACAGGACAATCTTCCAGCGATGCCCCAGCCTTTGAGTGTTGCTTCAATTTACAGAATGCCCCAGTTCCATAGTCAACGTAGCTACAAATTAAGTCAACAACTACACAACACTCAGGGCTATTTATGTGACTCAATAGTGATACACGTGAAATAATTTGATGACATTGTGACTTTTTTTTTTTTTTGTACTGGGGATTGAACTTGAGTCCTTGGGCTTGCAAGGCAGGCCACCGAACCGCTGAGCTAAATCCCTGGGCCTTCATTGTGACTTTTATAGAAACATTAAATATCACTTATTTCATTAAAAATTAACTTCCATTTTTGTTCTGAATTTTCTCACTGTTTAGGCTAAATGAAAAAGTATTCTGTAAGTTACTTTTGGTTTCCATGAGGTAGTTATTGTTGGAATATAATGTTAGTGCAAACATCAAATCTGCCAAGAAAATCCCAAACTATGACGAGGACAGATCCATGAAATTTTGATCCTTTTTTATATTAGTTCTTTGTCTTTTGCGGTCCTTATACCAACAGTGCAAATCACTGTCCTGCACATTTGTGCCTATTTCTGTACGTTTTCGTTTCACTAACACTAGGTTATCTCAGAGGTGAGGGTCATGAAATTCTATCACACTAGGTGAGTTTAGGACATAGGTCCTAGAAAATGCTTGCAAACCTTCCATGGTGCTCAGTCTTTTGCTTCAGAAGTGAGGTAGACTTGCTACTTAAATGAAACTATCAGTTTTAGGAGGGACAAAATGATGAACACAGTGGAGAACAACAATTCACTCTTTGTGATTCACTTTTGTGAAGAGACTTTTAACATAAATAATTTCACTGCTATAATAATGTTTGAGACTATTAAAATGTATTTAAAATTGTTGAGCATCAAATTTTGGTGGTGAAATTACTAATTGCATGAAATACATACTGTTCATGCATTTTTTACTCAATAGGAAAATGAATTAGAAGAAATAGAAAATTACACAATATGCTCTTAGAAAATTATCTACATTACTCATCCTATTTAGATTTTTAATTTCTTATTAATTATGGGTAATTATATTCTAATATTTTTATTTTAATTCAAATTCCCTCAATGCAAACACTGAAGAGAATGTGTAGTAATACCACAATTCAGCCAATTATTGTAAGCTTCCAAAGTTTCAGTTCTTTTTATTTATTTATTTTGTTTATTTATTTATTTATTTTTTGAGACAGGGTCTCACTATGTAGTTGATACTGACCTGGACTCACTATGTAGCCCAGGCTGGTCTCAGACTCATAGCGATCCTCCTGCCTCAGCCTCCTGAGTGCTGGGATTAAAGGTGTGAGCCACCACTCCGGCTCAGTTGTTTTTTGTGTGTGTGTTTATTGGTACATTTTAGGTATACGGTACCAGATCAGTTCTTTTTATATTTGCATTAGTTTAACAACTTAAAGCCTCAAGTAAGTTTAAGTAACAATTTTAAACTTAAAACTTTTTATTGTTTCACAAATTACTTTTATAAAATTATTATTTGTCTTTAAAACATATTCCTTATACACCCAAAAAGATTGTAAAATTACTTCATGAATTATTTTATTTAAAACTCTTATTAAAAATAACCAGAACTGAGTACATCAGTGGCATTTGTTAAAAAATATTGCCTCAAAATAGATTTTTCTATGCTTAATAAGTACAACAGTTCATAGTTTTCTGTACTTAAGTGACTCGGTGTTAATATATCAATTTGTAAACTATGTGCATTTAATAAAGTGAAAATATATATGAATTTCTCTAATAATAAAAACATTTTTGTTACACTTTAACTATCAACTTTTAACCTAAATATATTTTCAATTCAATCTAGACATAAGTATAAAGTAATTCATAATTACCTGTTTTTTATGGACTAACCTTTATTTTTGTCTCACCGAAGCCTTTAAGAATTTGGATATTTATGTTATTTTAGGCTCAGCCACAGTGCATCAGCAAACATATCCTTTGTACTTTTAAGATCCTCAGTTCTTCATAGCAGACAGTGCTCTTTTGGAATAAGTAGTTTTGTCAGCCCCGGGGACTTCTTCCACTGGCAGAGAAGTCACTAATTAAAGGCATCTCCGTGCCATCTTCTGATTTGCTGTATTTAGTTTCGTCAAGAAGTCTCTCACCGCTCAGAATACGCCAACTTCAGGGTCCCCTCAGAGTTCCTAGTTCATCCTCTTTCTTAGACACGAACCCAGTAGACAGTTCCAAATGGTCTGATTACACTGTAGCTGCTATGAATGGTCCGATTGGATCGTCCGTTTCTATAGGGTGGGGCATTTAAACATGTCTTTTTAAACATTTCGTAATCCATCCAGGGTTCCCTGCTACGCATTCATGGCGAGCCTGTGTTGTAGCTGTCTTAAACTGCAACAGTGGAGTTCACCAAGGAAAACTGAGAATCTGGAGTAAGTCCAGCTGAGATCTTGGGAAGAGCAACTGGAAAAGGCTCTGTCTCTTCCAGACTTCAGATCTGTGAACAGCAACAGTCCCCATCACTTAGGCAGTTAAAAAAGTTAGCGTGAAGCTAAATCTCTCTTGCCATTCATTGAATAATGCTTCTCACATTTAATTAGCTAGTGACTTCTAGTGGTTTGGATTATGAATAGGAAGTACGGGTGGAGATTTAGCTCAGTGGTTCTGACACTTGCCTTGCAAGTGCAAGGACCTGAGTTTGATCCCAGGTACCATAAATAAATAAATAGGAAGTATTTCCGTGAGATGACCACTCATCCACTGTTACTGTACAGAGCAGGTCCGAAAGTTTGAGTCATGACCCAGAGACCTTGGAAGGGAAGAAAGGAACAGGTGGAGGGTAGTGAGGGACAGAGGAGTGAGTGACTGCAGCCGGTTCATAGAGAGGCAGCTGGGCTGAGAGGATGTCTGAACGTCACTAAGTGTGGGGTCTGCATGAGTAGAAAGATGTTCTGATCACGTAGAATATGAAACCCGGAAAAGTCTCAAACACACTTGGATGTTGTGTAATAAAGACAGTATACCCAGTACATGAAATTTGACCATAAAAATGGGTAGACTTCGAAGAAAGAACAAATTTTTTCAAGAGTTATTAATATAGAAAAGGAAGAAATTTGATGAGAGTAGATAGTTTAGAAAGGAAAATAATGAAACCCTTCTAAAGATGAAATTTTATGCTTTTAGGACAATGAAACTTAATCACAGACGTTTAGGCTGAAAAGTACACACACAAGCACACACACAGAGCTATTTAAAATTAAATAAGTCAGCATGGTTAAAAGAAACAGTTTCCCAAAGTAAAATTTAAAAATGATAAATAAAAAAATGCAAATAAGTTCTTAAAGTGTTATTTGGTCTCATGAGTGGTGTTTTGTATATCAAGAAAAATTAAATAGAAATAATAAAATAGAGCAAACAAATTAAAAAAAACTTCATGGAGAAGGAAGGAAAGTCAGTAGAAGGAGGGTTACACTACTTCAATCATACAGAACAATAATATTTATAATAAGACCAGTGACGTAGATCTTTTAATTCTCAGACTTTCATGTGCATATATGCAATTTTACATATGAGTGCAAATCTGGGTTTGTTGACTAATGTTGTATTTTATTTACCTCTTGAAGCAACCAATAACTTGTGCATTAGTATATATTTTTTCAGTGAAATGATACTGCAATGTTATTTAACCAGCAAGAGAGTAAATTGAAGGTTGAACCATTGAGTGGGTTTTCTTTCTGTTATTTAGCTTTATTTTTAATATATTGTCAACTCCTTCTTTAATCTAGAGCTTCCAGATAACTGTAATTATGAATTTAAAAAATTTTGAAGGTACTTCTTTACTTCTTAAGTAAAAACAAAGATTTATTTTTAAAATATTACAAATTATATGAGCCTGTGTTCTGTATTTCCATTATTTAAAAATTATTTTATTATTTTTATCATTCTGGAGGATTTATTACAAATAAAAGTTGTAATTACTTGGTTGGTAGATTGTTAGCACTACGCTGTACATATGTAGTTCTCCATAATCATAAAATTATATCCTTTTGTTTCAGTTTAACACATTATAGGAAATTAAAAAATAAATTTGCAAACTGGGCATATAAATTTTGAGCTTAAAGTTTTCCATTTTCATCACTTGTCAATTATTGACTCTCAGAGATTTGCAGTATGCTAGAAACTATGGAAAATATCAACAAAAAATCTGAGCAACACACAAGTCATATTTACTCTCTTGGATTTAGATATAGTTCCTCTTGTCCTCTTAATCAGCACAATTAAAGTATGCGCATCCGTATCAAACTAGATCTTCTCCAAACAGTAACTCTCCTTAAATAAGAATGCTTCATGAATCCTTCTGTTTCTGTTGCTTTCAAACGTGGCATCTTCATATTTAACTACAGGCTCCTGCAAAACAGGCTTTACCATTTGTTGCTCTGAACACTTTCTTGACATCAGTCACCCTAGGGGTGGCCTTCAGGTCCCCTGACCTCTCATCCAGTGAGCCCCACTGGACCTTGGCAGAAGGCAAGGATGCTGTGGATAGCATGCTACCATCTCACTCTACTAATAGTCGCTGGGGAATAAACATCCAGATCCCACACTCTACCCATGCTTTGGAATTAGCAAAGCAAAGTTTTGCTTACTCTGAAAGGTGCATGCTTCATGTATTAACATTTATTTTTTGGGGGGGCTAACTTGTACTGCTAGAGATAACTTCGTAAACAGTCTGAAACATACAAACTGTTATGGAAATATAGAATAACTGCTGTCTTTATCCTCTGTAATTTGCTTTGCCTCACTTGTTTCTCAGAACAAAATACCTGAGGTTTCACCATTAAAGCTTATAGGCACTTAGTCCAAGTTTAAAATTAACAGATGCTGGAGGTGCTTAGCTGTTGTATCCTAGGATGAGACCAAATGTCCAAGCTAAGATAACAGTCTCCAGGCTCTAAGCCCTAAAACTTTCTGTAAATCATGTAACTATAAAGGAGTTAAGATGAAAGAATGTCACAAGTCCTGGTTTCCTAACCATGACTCCCTTTCATGTGGCCTGAAACAGCTAAAGAAAAACATCCTGAAAGAAAATGCTATATTTGGTTTAACATTGAAACTGTCTTGTGACCATGTTTTGTGATGGGAACTGTAGACACTAGAATGTCTTATCACCTAAAATGAGGCCATGATTGTAAAACTCCTATAAAAGGCAGATTGTATCCCAGCCCAGAGTCAGGCATTTGGCACAGCCCTTGATGCAGGCTGACTCTTTTCTATCAAAGTAAATGTTTTTTGTTTTACCCACTTCTGCATCTCTGTGTGTCATTTACCACTTCCTTTCCACAATGATACTAGCTAAAGAATTAATGAACTTTTATCATGAACCACATGCGTGATATTTCAATTTACATCTCTAGTTTTTGCTAAGAATAAAAACATCAAATTTGAAATGTAGAATGGTAATAACACTTCTACAGAGTAGGCTTTCACTTCTGGTCTACTTTCTTCATCTTTAGAAAACAGTTTCTTAAACTTAACTGTGATTTCTGTACTCATTCTAATTCCTCTTTCTTTTGTCTCACTCTCTCTTCTTATTTTGTTTTAAGATGAACTTCTCAGAATTGTTTGAGTTTGTAAGAATTTACATAAATATAAGAGAATGTTTTTATGCTTTCACTTAGCATTTTTCAAAATCTAGTGGCCTTTGGAATTTGAGCTAATATTTTGATAAAATATATTCTTTCATTTAAAAGACTTTGGGCATGAGTATGAGCATTGTGTGGAATTTTCTTAAGTTCAGTCCATTAACCAAATAGATTTTAAAGTATTGGATAACACTAAATTTGATTAGATTTGGTTACACTTGGAGGCTTTCTATTAGTCAGAAAGATTTATATTATAAATCCCTTTATAGCATATTATAACATTGCATAATTTCAGTACGTATCCATCCCAGAGTTTAAATGCATTTCTTCCTTATTTCCACTGGCACATGTTGGGAACTCTAAACTCTTTGTATAGTAACTTCTTTTGAGGTTCTGTTGATAAACTTTCTTTGAATTAAAAATGGATAAACAAGTTAAGTTTTAAATCATAAGGAAGCAAAATCAATACACTGATGCCTTTAAAATATAAAACTTTTATAGTTACTCTACAAGTATGCCCCAAGACCTAACCATGCTTATTACTCCTTTATTTTTTCCAGGAGAAGTTATTCAACCTGAAATTCCTTAACACTAAAACACATCTGCAGCCAGACCTCTCTAGTTCTTAGTTTAAGACAGGTACCTAAGCTGGAAAGATGAGGTCCTCCTTCCTCAGGTTGAAAATAGCTAAGATTACAGCAATGTGCCAGTAATCCCACCAGCCATATGGGTTACTTTTTAAATAGCTGACACTGTATTATTAAAATGATAATAAGAAAAGAACAATAATATCCTCTATTTTTTAGGGAAAATATAATGACATAACATACTAAACAATGCATACCGAGTGTTTTTAGGGAAGAGCCAAATGTAATTAGTGACCACTGCAGCAATAATCTACTGTACATGAGATTTGCTGAGAAGTTAATCCCTTATTTTGTTTTTTTGTTTCTTAGTTATTTATTTTGTGTTTTTGTGTGTGTACTGGGGATCGAATTTGGGATCTTCCACTTGTGAGGCAGGGGGTGCACCACTGAGGTAAATCCCCAGCCCCTTAATCCCGTATTTTGAGTGGAACCACTCTGAGTCACACTCTGATTTCTGAAAGTCTAGTGTAAAGTTAACAAATATATAAGTACAATCAATCCCTATTAAAACAGAAATTAATGTAGTGGATGCATTTCTGATTAAGAAATGGCAAGATTTAATTGAGAAAATAAACTGTTAGTTCATTATATGTTATACAATAGCAATTTTTTCAAGGCCGTAATGAGATTTTTATTTCTAAGAATCTATAACTCCAGATCAAAGACTAGGGTGACAAAGTTATAGAAAAATTAGAAAAATCTGTTTCTTATGGGAACAAATTTGTATTTGGGTCATAAACATACTTTAAAAAGCCATTACTGAGGTAGGTCCCTGGAGGAGGTTCTGACTTGTCCTGATGTTGAGGATAACTTGAAGATCGTGGGATGGCTTTTCCTGTTAGCATCAATCATCATCACAGAAGGGATCCAAGAAAACAGCATGACACTTGTGCTGAGCAGGGTCTCACTCACAAAAGTGCCTTTCCAGCATTGGCTTAGTATTCAGAGAATATCACAGAAGTGATTGATTTTCTTAGATCCACCAAACAATGTAGGCAAAGTCCACCGTATGCTCCATAACCAATACAAACTCTGCTGACCCTGGGTACCTAGATAGCTGGACACAAAGCCTGAGGTCTCTAAGTGGAAGGCATGGTTGCCAGTGGTCCCCTGGCTGTTATAGACATCACTGTCTGGAAGCAGCCCTCATCTTTCAAGACTAAAGTAAGAGCACAAATGCACAGCACAGGCAAGGAAGCAAAACACTTGTGGACTGAGTCCATGAGGTTATGAATATCCACAAGTATGGAATATAAAAATGTTCAATGAGAAAAATACATAAAGTATGAACAGCCTGATATATGCTGGCTAAGAAAATATTGGTAGGAAGTCCCATTCTTGCTAGGATTCTGACATAGATCAGAAAATTGATATAAACATAGAGGATGAAAATATAAGAAAATCCCCCCAAAATAAACTTATTTATTGAAGTAAGTTTTATTTCTTCTCATTAGATTTTATGTGTAAAAAGAGAAAATGGGCACTTATTCTTTTGGCTTATATTCTATCAAGTAGAGATGTATAAGTAATAAGCATATAAGATTTATTCTTTGCATTTATATTCTACCATTTTGAATCCTAGATCAAATAGTATACTGGAAGTCTAGTAGGAAATAAGTGATAAATTTTAAACAAAATAAAATAATTATAACAGTGAAATCTTAAAAATATTTTATATTTTATACCTTTCAGAGGTAGTAAGATATTAAATAAAACATATGTATATATATTTTTTTTTTTCAGTACCAGATATCCAACAGAGGACCAGGGTGTTTAAGCTGTTAGACCCATAGCCAGACATGAGAAAAAGGATCAAACTGCAAAGTGAGATCAATGATTGACAGAACTGTTATATTCTGACACTGATTATATAAAAGTTTTACTCAAATTAATTAAAGTCCAGGTCATTTTGCATAATGTTATTTGACAAACATATTATAAATTAGCAATTGATAGTTACATAGGAAAAAATCTGAATATTTGCCAAATGCATTTAGAAAGCTGCATGAGAAGCACATCTGCAAATTCTTTCTGTGTTTTCATGTGTTTAACCCATGCTGATAACTCTGTAGCTTTCTCAGGGCCAACATGATGTCCTTATTCCTCAGCGAGTAGATCATGGGATTCAGAGTTGGGATCAAAACAGTGTAGAAAAGAGAGAGGAGCTTTCCATTGTCCTCAGCCTGCCTTGGTTTGGGCTGTAAATAAGTGATGCTGGCTGTTCCATAGAACAAGACCACAACCGTCAGGTGAGAGGAGCAGGTGGAGAAGGCTTTAGCCCTCCCTCTGGCCAAGGGCATCCTCAGAATGCTGGAGATAATTCTGACATAGGAGATGAGGATCAGTGGAAAGGGAAAAGTGAGAAAGACTACTGCCACCACATAGACTGCCATCTCGTTCTCAAATGTGTCCCCACAAGCCAGCTTGAGTACTGGGGGGATGTCACAGAAGAAGTGATCAATTCTGTTAGACCCACAAAAGGGCAGAGTGAAAATCTGGCTTGTTTGCCCTATCATAACAGGGACCCCACAGACCCAGGAGGTGGCCACCAGCTGCATGCAGAACTTGTGATTCATGATCAGGGTGTAATGCAGAGGGTGGCAGATGGCCACATAGCGGTCATAGGCCATCATTGCCAGGAGCAGGCATTCTGTGCCTCCCAATGTAATGAAAAAGAACATTTGCATAGCACAGGCAACCAGGGAAATATTTCCTTTCTGGGTACAAAGGTCCATGAGCATTCTGGGGATAGTGACTGTCACATAACATATATCCAAAAAGGAAAAGTTGCTAAGGAAAAAATACATAGGTGTCTGAAGAGCAGGGTCGAATTTTGTTATTAATATTATAAGGCTGTTGCACAGCAGAATAGTCAGATACATGAGTAAAAATGTTCCAAAGAGAATCCACTGAAGGTTGGGAGTATCAGAAAACCCCAAGAGAACAAATTCCACCACTGCAGTCGTGTTTGATATTTCTCCTCCCATCTGCATATCAGTGCAGGCATCGTGTATTCAGGCTGTCATTTCCTGTGCATTTGGAACCACATGCCCTGTTTTCTTGTGGTCATTAGATCTGTAGCTATACTCACACGATCTCTATTGCTACGTCTAATTGTCCTTGGTTTCTTCTATGACATGAGGTTTGAAACTTCCAAGGTGAACTTCAATGTGGTTAACTTTCACTGAAGAGATAAAATCTAAGACTTTACTGCACTTGGGTGTGATGATGACCAAGAGTATTGAGACTGAGAAATGCACTTGGTTAACGATATTGAGAGCACATGGAGTAATATCATCTCCTTCTTTTTTTCCTTCAATTCAAATTAGTTTACAAGGTTTTTCTCTTGTTTGCCGAGGTTGTTTCCTCTGTATTGATAATTGTATTCCATCTTCTTTAAATTCAGTGCTGTTCAGCAGGGGATTTGGCTCAATGGTTCCACCGCCTGCCTCCCGAATTGAAGGGCCTGAGTGGTGGTAAAAAAATAAATAAACATAAATATATAATTAAATAAATCCAATGCTGTTCTTTTGAAGCTTTTCTTTAATTCTTCATATGAGTTAGATTTTTCCTTCTCCTTTAGCAGCCCAGTGGAAACAATTTCCCTAACTCTGCTCTTCAATACAAAGTGAATTCGTACATGATTACTGGGATTCTATGCGCACCTCTCCCATCTGATACCCAAAAGATTGACTATCTCCAACTCAGAATGATTATTACTTTGGCTGTTGTCATCTCTGGGCCTGTGAATTATAAATACTAAGTAAGCATGAACTTAATAAAAAACATGACCAAATCTTCATACTGTTCTTCTATGTCCTTTGTTTTCTTTCATTATTTCCATTGGTATATAATTGCCTTTTTAATATTTTAATACCTATTATATTATATTTACTTTATTTACATTATAACATATATTTATATATTAAATATATTTATGCATAAGTTACATATAAATATATAAAATATATTTGAATGTTTAAATTAAATGTATTTGTATTTATATTAATTTTGTTATATTTATCATTTATAAATATTGTATACACGTATAAAATACGTATAATTCCCTTTTAATCAAATGCAACTTTTTTCTCTATATTCTTTGTCTAACATTGTCCTATTAAACTGCAAGTTTAATTTAACCCAATGGTGACATGCAGTGGGCATTCTCTTCACCAAAGTCCATACTTGGAACTGCAAAAGCAAACGTGTCTTGATTGTACTTGTTTCCCTCTCCCCTGCCCTAATCCTCCCATTCCTACTCTCTTAGATGCCTTCCCATTGCAAGGTATCTATTTCACTGGCTTCTCAGGTCTCTTTCTGCTGCTCTTTTTTTTTACCTTTTACCTTCTCTTGCTCAAATGAGACATATTGCAAATTAATAATATCGACATGAAAAACTGAGGAAGGGGTTCCTAGAAGGGAGAAGGGGGAGGAGAAACAAAGGGAAGGGGATTTTTAACAGAGAATCCAGGTGTCTTGCACGCTTGCAGCCACTCTCCAAGATGGTTGTAAAATAAATACACTGCAATCACACGCTAACAAAAACTACAAAAATAAATAGAGATCAAAGCAAACTCAAAACATGCATGCTGCTTTATGTTCTCATTATCCAATGTGAAGTATTCTGCAGTGCTTTAAAATTACTTACTGCTTAATATATTTTCTTAATGTTTTTTCCACAACTTTCCAAAAGAACATATTTTCCTGAATCTCAAAGCCACTACACTTTTCTATTAACGGACAGAATCATATGATGATTTGGACTTGATTTTATGATGAACACAACTGTGCAGAAAAATTATCTTCTATTTCTCTATTGTAACTGATTTGAGTTTTTCTCTCACATAAATTCCTTCTATGACGAATATCCACTGTATTTAAATATGTAATTAAGTAGTTTACCAAATGCATGAGTTATATGAGCTATCACATTTCAGGCAAATAACTGAATTTCTTGCTTTCTTTGTTTTACCAATTTGAAATCAGCCTTAGAGGAAACAGTCTCATATTTCTACCACAGCTCACCTTCACAAAGTCACGTCTAGCAGTCTAAGAAGCTTTAAATTATATTTTCTCTCTAAATTCACAAGCTCTTTTTCCCAGGGAGTCACTTGACTGCTACAACACCTGTGCCTATTTCAAGAGCTATGCCTGTTCTTAAATAGAGACAGTCAGGCACACTAACCCCGGGGACAATCTTTTCTTATGCACCCGTGTAACTTCCCAAGGCAATTTCCATTTGGCAATCATTCTGTTTTATTACTGAGAGCTACATTTTCAATAGGAACTTCATTTCCTTCTTCCTCTGTTTGGTGTTAAGCTCCCCCAGTGTAGGACGAGTTTGCTGGGAGTGAAAAAGCAGTTGTCTACATTTCAGGAAAAATGTAAAATTCCTTACTATTGCATGTGGGCTTTTGAATAAGTGACAGGTCATTGCCTCATCTACTTTTTTTTCACATGATTTGTCCAAATCCAGGTCATTAGAAAAATGTTCCAAGTGTTTTGTAAAACACACCCTTGCTTAGGTGGTGTCAGTGATATTTGAGGTGGTGAAAGCCCTTTTCAGAACTACTGTACTTTATTCTTAAATTAAGTTTATGGAAATATAGGACTTTCACACTTCCTAAAGTATGTAGGTGATTTGTGTTCACATAAGCCTCCTCTTTAAGGGTTACAAGAGCTGATTCTCCAACTGAAACACATGCCACCTCGAAAACACAATTTATGCCATGACAGAAAACCAAGATCAATCTTCCCTCTGGGCATCCATCCTCCATGAGATGATTTCCTCGTCTGGACGCAGATAAGAATCTGAGGCATAAGTTTCCAAAGTCATCTCCTACCTGTTCACAATTGTGTATTATAGGGTTACATTTTGCATTCATTTCTGCTTAGGATCACAATGTACTATTTTTGTTTTCTGGTATTATTTAATTTTAAAGAACACTTTACAGTGTGAAAATTGCTATGACTATGTATGTATTGATTGGGACCCAGACAGAATCCCATGAACCCTTAAGTGGAGGTGTGGCTGGCAAACACAGAGTAGAAAGGTTGAGATTCCAGATGAGAATGGAGGAAGCCAGAGAGGCAGGGGCTGTGGTGCCTTCCAGGAGCTGACACTCGCTCAGCGATGACATCAAACTGGAAACCAGAAAAAAGCTTTACAACCTCAAGGGGCCGAACGCTGACAAAATTCAAATCTTGAATCAAGATCCTTTCCCTATAGCTTCTAGACTGGAATTTGGACAAACTGACTATGGCCGAGAAACCGGATGCTCTATTTCTCACTGACGACCTGGAAAAGCAGAGAGATGGGGGTTCAGGGGGTGATCAGTGGCTAAGCGTGGTCACAATTTAAATGGCTTTAGAAAACCAGAGCAAGGAGTTAACAACCTAAAAGGCCTGGCCCTCAGTCACTACCACTGAGCTGAGAGAGCTGGTCACGCAGGCTGGAGAAGCTCCAGTTCTACCTCTGGGAACGATTAAATTTTCTCAGTCTATTTTTCTGTTTTGCTTCTGTTCTCGTTGTTTGTTTGTTGTTTTTTGAATCCCTTTAAAAGAGTGGGCCTTACCACATTCTGTGTAAATGATCCAGAATATCTCACAAAATCTACAGAAATGTAAAAGCTGGGAGAAGGGTAAGATAACAGCAGTTTCCAGGCAGAACACAGAATACGTACCCAATGACTGAGTAAATGAAATTTAATGGAAGGCTCTTTACCTGGTGTATTAGTTTGCAATGTGTGCCTTAAGTAATTATTCTGAAGTTGAAGACTCAGAAGGACATTTATTCAGTCCCAAAAAACTCGGTGCCAGGGTACAAATTGAGAGAGCTGCAGGGCTTCAACTCCTGCGAGTCCTTTAAGGGAGAATGGTCCTCACCTCCTCCACAGTGCAGGGGCGTTTGGCTGTCTTTGATCGTGGTGTTCACTTCAATTTTGCTTGCAGGTTCCTTGATTTTTCCCCTCTTTCATGTCTTTTTAAAACCTTTTCTTCGTCTCTCCTATGTTGAAGTTGGACATGAACTGATTGCCAAATCTGAACCCTGATGATTTGTATTTCAGGATATCTGATCATATTACATCTCCCATTTTTTCTAATAAAGCAGCTTTGGTGTAACAGAGAAATATTTTGAGGAACCAGTGTCCAAGCCACCCAGCAGGGGGTTGAGTATTTGTGATGAGAAACGCTGACCCTCCAAAGAGTGAGTCGGTAACACCAAAGCAAGAACAGAAGCTCCAGTGTGCATGACTGGGGTTACTGCTGAGCAGTCCCCGCTGGACACCAGAGGAAAAACACATGCAGCTTGTGAAGGGGAGAGGGAAGTGGACAGAGACAGAGACAGCAATGGTAAATTGCTGAAAATCTGTGTTTAAAATTTGAAAAACACTTCAGGTGGAGAGACGAAGGTTAGTATGCAATAGTGAGATCCGGGACACTGCAGGAGGGAATATGAGCTAGAGTTTGACAAAATCACCGACTATGACACAAGATAAGAAAGGCAAAAATAGGGAAAAGACATAACCAAAATAAAATAACACATTCCCCAAATCAGGATCAAGGCCATTCTCAGAATTTTGTTTGGTAAAATGCTGCCAGATGAACAAAGAAAGCAAATAGTAGGAAGTTTGAGAGGCTTAAAGAGGCCTTCTTCCCCCACATCACATGTATTACTCATTTTATAAGATTTTACATTCATGTTTTTTTTTTCTTTTGGTACCAGGGATGGAACTCGGGTCCTTGTGCTTGTGAGGCAGGTTCGGACCCACTCAGCTAAATGCCCGCCCTTCAGTTCTTCTTACACTGCACTTTTTAAACTCTTAAATCAATAAATACATATGAGAAAAAGGATTATTTAATTTGCAAAACCAAATCAATAACCTTCAAAGTGTTAAAGTTTTACACAGATTGCAGACAGGTTTTAAGTAAACTATTTAAAACAAAGCTCATAACATCATTTGGTAATGATATTATAATTCATCAATTTGTGGTTTTCCAGGAAACATGTAGATATTTGCCAAAGGCATTTAGAAAGCTGCATGAGAAGCACATCTGCAAATTCTTTCTTTGTTTTCACGTCTTTATCCCAAGCTTGTAACTCTGTAGCTTTCTCAGGGCCAACATGATGTCCTTGTTCCTCAGCCAGTAGATGATGGGATTCAGAGTTGGGATCAAAACGGAATAGGAAAGAGAGAGGAGCTTTCCATTGTCCTCAGCCTGCCTTGGTTTGGGCTGTAAATAAGTGATGCTGGCTGTTCCATAGAACAAGACCACAACCGTCAGGTGAGAGGAGCAGGTGGAGAAGGCTTTAGCCCTCCCTCTGGCCAAGGGCATCCTCAGAATGCTGGAGATAATTCTGACATAGGAGATGAGGATCAGTAGAAAGGGAAAAGTGACAAACACTGCAGTCACCACATAGACTGCCATCTCGTTCTCAAACGTGTCCCCACAGGCCAGTTTGAGTACTGTGGGGAGGTCACAGAAGAAGTGGTCAATTCTGTTAGATCCACAAAAGGGCAAAGAGAAAATACGACATGTTTGCCCTATCACAGCTGGAATTGTACTGACGCAGAAGTCAGTGGCCAGCTTCATGGAGAACTTGTGGTTCATGATCAGGGTGTAATGCAGAGGGTGGCAGATGGCCACATAGCGGTCATAGGCCATCATTGCCAGCAGCAGGCACTCTGTGCCTCCCAATGTAATGAAAAAGAACATTTTCATAGCACAGGCAACCAGGGAAATATTTCCTTTCTGGGTACAAATGTCCATGAGCATTCTGGGGATAGTGACTGTCACATAACAGATTTCCAAAAAGGAAAAGTTGCTAAGAAAAAAATACATAGGTGTCTGAAGAGCAGGGTCAATTTTTGTTATTAGTATTATAAGGCCATTGCACAGCAGAAGAGTCAGATACATGAGTAAAAATGTTCCAAAGAGAATCCACTGAAGGTTGGGAGTAGTAGAAAATCCCAAGAGAACAAATTCCAGGAGATCAGTGGTGTTGGATATTTCTGTTCTCATTTGCATAACAGTGTAGCTATGGTGCCCTAGGGCTGTTCAGTTCATTTGCATTTGGAATGACCTGCCCTCTGTGTTGCCCTAATTAGGGCTGTGCACGCACTCACATGAGCTCTCATGCTATTCCTCATGTTCCCTTGCTTCTCCTATGACATGAGATTTGACTTCCAAAAGTGTAGTGCCACACAGTTAACAGTTATTCAAGAGAGAAGATCTCACACTTTATTATGCTTGGCTGTGATTACATCCAAGAGTACTGAGAAATGCATGATACTACCAACATTTACAGCACATTGAGAAATATCATCTCCATCTTTTGCCCTTAATTTTCCATTAGTTTATTAATTTTTTTATTTTTTGAATAGATTTACTCTTTTTCTCTCATTGCAATTGTATTTCGTCTTCTTTAAATTCAAAGCTGTTCTCTCAAAGCTTTACTTTAATTCTTAGTACAAATTAAATTTCACATCCTCCTTTAGCAGTCCACTGGAAGCAGTTTTCCTAGATCTGCTGTTCTTTTGAAAACAATTCAGTGCTTGATCATTGCTCTTCTATGTGCACCTCTCCAATCCACAATTCACCATTATATATTAAACTGAGAACAATAACTTTCTCTTTGAACACCTCCTGTCCAAGAATGATAAGCAGTAACTAAACTTATTCTAAATGAAAAACATGGCCATGTCTCATACTATCCTTTAATGTTCTGTTTTGTCTTTTACTGTTTCTATTGTTATATAATTTCCTTTTAAGCAAATACATTGTTTTTTCTCTATTTTTTTGTCTAATATTGTCCTATTGAAGAGCACATTTCCATGAACAGTGATATACACTGGCCCTTCTCCTTGCCAAAGCACTAATTGGAGCTAAAAAAGCAAGCATAATTTGATTGTACTTCTCTCCCTTTCCCCTGCCCTATTCTCTTTCCCATTCATTTAGACCTCTTCCCATTGGCAAGAAATCTATCTGCCTGGCCTCTCATGTCTCTTCCTGGTGCTCTTCGTTTGTACTTTGACTTGCTCAAGTGAGACATATTGCAAATTAATTAGCTCAAAACAAGCGGGGAAAGGGATTTTAAAAAGTGAATCCAGTTGTCTTACATACTTGCACCCATTCCCCAAGATAGTTGTAACGTGCATGAACTGAAAACATGTGCTAAATAATCATGTAAAAATAAATCAAAATTAGAGCAACATCAAAACATCCCTGCTCTTTTATATTGTAGTTATCCAATGTGAAGGATTCTACACTGCCTTAAAATTTCTTAGTGCTTAATATATTTTCTTAAGGCTGCTTCTACAACTTTCCGAAAGGGTGTTATTTTCCTTTTCTCTCACTGCCTTTACACTTGTCTACTATCGGACGCAATCATCTGGTCCTTTGGACTTGGTATCCTGATGAATACAACTGTTCAGAAACATTATCTTCTATTTCTCTATTTCAATTACTTTAAGTTTTCAAGTTTCTCTCATAGCACTCACTTGTACTGCTAATATAATTACCATGATTTGACCATAGCTGATTTTATTTTACCTTGTAATTAAGAAATTTAAGAGATCCATGCAATATAGAAGCTAATTCATTGTCAGCCAAATGACTGAGTTTCATTAATTTGAAATTATCCTTAAAGAAAATAGTCTCATGTTTCTACCACAGCTCATCTTCACAAATTCAGGTCTAATAGTCTAAGAAGCTTTAAATAATATTGTCTCTCTAAATTCTTAAGCTCTTTTTCCCAGGGAGTCACTTGAATGCTACAACACCTGTGCCTATTTTAAAATGTATGCCTGTTTTTTAATAGGAATAGTCAGGCACACTAACCCTGGGGACAATCGTTTCTTGTGCACCCGTGTGATTTCCGGAAGCCATTTTCTATTTGGTAATCATTCTGGTTCATTAGTGAGAGCTACTTTTTCAATAGGAACTTCATTTCGTTCTTCCTCTGTTTGGTGTTAAGCTCCCCCAGTGTAGGACAAGTTTGCTTGGAGTGAAAAGGCAGTTGTCTACATTTCAAGAAAAATTTTATATTTCTTACTATTGAAATCAGGCCCCTTCAGAAGTGATTGGTAGCTGTCTCGTTTACTTTTTTTCCCGCACAATTCATTCAAATCCAGGTCATTAGAAAAATGTTCCAAGTGTTTTGTAATACACACTTGCTAAGCTTGTTGTCAGTGGTATTTGTGGTTGTGCAATCCCTTTTCAGAATTATTGTACTTTGTTCTTAGAACAAGTATATGGAAATATAAGCATGTCACATTTCCTGAAATATTTAGGCCTTTTGTATTCATATGTGCATTCTTTTCAATGTTTAGAGAAGCTGAATATCTCATGGAAAACACAAGCCAACCCTAAAACATATTTTAAACAAGGATAAACACCAAAATGAACCTTTCCTGTAAGCACTCATCCAGTTAAAATATTTTTGTCTGTATGCAGATCAGAATGGAAGCACAAGCTTCTGAAGTCATCACCTACCTATCCACAACTGCGCATGATAGAGTTGTGTTTTACATTTACTCGTTAACACCACAGTGCACCGTCTTTGATTAACAGCAATATTTATTTTTAAGGAACATTTTAAAATGTGAAAATTGCTAGCATTTGTATGTATTTATTGTGTTTCTTTTGATTTTCCATCTATCTTATTTTTCTTCCATTTGTGAAACTTCTTTTTGCATCTGTCAATGGTAAGACTTCTACTGATCTATTGTTCCTTTTAATAACTACATATTTTTATTATAAAACTAATTATATCATTTTCTCTCTCACTGGGTTATCTCACCAGATAAATAATCACATCCTGACTGATTTTTATTCTCTCTCTCTCTGAAGATGTAGCTGCATTCATTCCTTTCTTGCATAAATCCTAATGGGAAAACTGCATTTACTAATTTCTTGCTGTTTGCACATATACTGTAAACAACACAGAAAAATGAATGAACTTTTAAAATCCTACCATTTTTAGGTACTGAAGATTTTTCCATGGGAGCTGCAGGCAAGTGACTTGCAAAAGTTACTCTAACTCTCTTTGTACCTTATATAATGAAGTACAATTACAGAGACACTCTCATAAGCTCAAGGCTATAATCAGTTGATCATCTTGTAAAATGTACAATCATCTTTGAGTTACCTTATTCTTTATCACCATTTTTTATGTGCTTTTTATTTCTTATTTTTTAGTTTTTTCTCTCATGGAGTTCATTGGTACATTTTAGGTTTACAGTACAGTTA